CAACATCTGTCCGCTCACCTGAAAAATAAATGGATAAATACATGTATGGCATACATAAATATATACACATACCCATATATGAAGAAATACATACATACATGCCTACATCCATACATACTGTAGATATATACGCACAGACATAGACCCCCGGATCAGAACACCTGTTTGTGAGCAGTTGTGAACATGTGTGTATATACAAGATTTCTCCAATGGAATATTTAATAGTGACTGTGGAGGACCGGAGACCCAACCCCCAAGACACGAGGCAGACATAGGGAAGACCAGAGCCCAAGGGCCNRAGAGGRATCHHRAGCGCAGAGCCCCAAGGGGCACCCGCACAGGAAGATCCGCCCACCCCCCAGATCAGACCATAGGGGAGAACTGGGAGAGTCCCCCAGCGACCACACGTACAGTCCCCGGGGCCAGCAGCGACAAACTCATGGGCCCCACCGGCATCCGCCATACCAAAGCAGATCCAGGAAAGGACACAGAGGTCCGGGCCCCCAGGGCGCACCCCCTCCAGGCCAAAGCCCCACAGGCCCAGAGGCCCCGAGCCCCAACAGGCAGTCACCAGGCCAGGCCGGCACACACCCCACCGGGGGGCCGAGTAGCAGCGGGCCCCCAGATAAACCAGCAGGAGGGGCAGCCCAGACCGCAGCCTGACAAATACCCRAACATACACAATCGTTGTAAACTACTGTATTAGAACAACAGTATTACCTGAACAAAATAAAAAATCYTTCAGGCTCAGAACGTTTCTTGTGTTACATTAGCTAGAGTTGCTGCTGTATAATTATTTTAAAAAATGGCAAATTGGTTTCATCTTTGATGCAGCTTTTTGCAATGTGGTTGTTTGCCAACTTTTTTAAATTCAACTTTTTTGAAACCAATAGTCTGAACTTTTGACTGAAGGTAAAATACATAACAGGAAATTTTGAGAGGACCTAAAAAAATCGGTGTAATATCTATTTCTTATGACGCCAGCACASGAAGCATGTGATACATGTGATTTTTGATCAACCGTAGCACAAAATTGGCTGCACCGATCTACATGAAGTTTGGCAGGACTGTAGATGAGTCTGACCTACACTGCGCCAGCCAACGGTTTTACGATAGACACCATATTTGAGGTGGTGGTGTCTGGACATGCAAAAATGCTTATAACTCAAAAATTATTCTACAAAGAAGCTTTAGGTTTTTTTTTGTTTAGCTGTGATGAAGGGCTATCCACTTGGCCCAACAATGAGCCCCCGGACCCCCACCCAAAACAATAAATCTGCTCTGGTGATGAGTTCTGAGTTCTGGTGCTTTGTGTATGTGCGGGGGTCATATGTGCTACCTCTATGCTGTATCTACTTTATTTATGTTTTGTTAGCTAATATATCTAGCTTATATTTAGCTAATATTTCAGAATGAGTAAGATCAAGACATCAGTTTGTGGTTTAAATGTAATTTTTAACAAATGGTCACAACTTCAATCATTTATACTCCCCTTAATATAAAAAAGAACAAATACATTGATTATTATTTCTAAACATCTCTCACCTAAAACCTGTATCGTTTAGTTATTCTGATTTAAGAAACATAGGTGTAAAATATAGGAATGCACGATATATCGGAATTAATATCGGTATCGGCCGATATTGGTCATTTTTTAGAATATCGGTATGGGTCAGATATGTAAAATGGGGCCGATATTAATATCCAATATTGATTTCCCACTTTTTATCTTTGTGTTTCTGTTTTGGGAGGTGAGACGGTTGGTTGAGCAGCATCTGTTTGATCATGATAGTGATATTGACGCTGCGCAGCCAGGAATAACTGAAGTAGGGAGCCATGTCAGAGGTCTGGTTGTTTATTTACAGTGTCAAAAAAGACCCAAGTGTGTTTGCGTGTATATGTATAAAATAATTTGTATGTTTGTGTAATATAGGTAAATATCGGTTATCGGCCATAACACCAATAATTATATCGGATATCGATATCGGCTGAAATTTTCATATGGGTGCATCCCTAGTAAAATATCATAATTTTTGTTTCTCTCTTGTTTCAGGACTTCCGTGTGTTTTAGAGTAATATTTCAGTGATGAAGTGTTAGAGTTTGCCCAGCTTGCTTGAACGTCTTGTTTCTGGGCAGATGGCAGCGACCTGGACGCTGTGAGCCACAGCAGCATGGATAGTTCTGCCGACGCTAACCCGGCCGAGCGGGGCCCCTACGCCTCAGACCCCGTCAAAGTAGACCCCACTGACGATAGATCTAGCACAGGTACGCTTCAAATGGTTGGAGCCTCTGGCGGCCATCTTGTTTTCCAATCTTTTTTCTTTTCTCTCATTGACATTTTCTTCATCCTCCTCCTTTCATCGCTCCGCTCACCATCCGTCCTCGTTCCCCTTTTCTTTTGACCCGTTCTTCCTCTGCTGCCTGGTGTTCCACATTTCCTTCCTCTGTTGTGAACCCCTCCCCCGTCACGCTGCGGTTTCTGCTCTGCTCTGTAACCCTGCCCTTCACTTTGGCCCTGCCTGTGTTGCCCTTGCATGCAGCTGGCCGTGGTGGCGGCAGCGTGGGCGCCGGGCCCATGGCAGCCCAGTCAGGCTGGGTGGGCTCTGAGCTCAGAGAAGCCACTCTCCACCCAGGTAAACATCTCCGTCACTTTCTTCTTCTCTCCGTCTCTTTCATCTTACCTGCCCTGCATCGTATTTTTTTTATTTAATTTATTCCTTTCTTTTTTTTGTTCTTTCATTGTGTTCATGTCTCTGATTCTTACCCCTCTATCAGAACTTCAGTCAGCTGTTCACCTCTCCTCTGCCCTTCACTCTTTCTCTCAACCATCTGAGCGTTTTGTCATTGTTCCTTATGGAGGGGAACTGCCCCGACAGTCATTGTTTTTATTAACTGCAGAGTTTTAATTATGGAGCTGGCACCTCGACAGGCGGCTCAGCCCAGCGATGAGTGGTTCATTTATTATCACAGTGCTAAAAAGAGTTTTCTTTCACTTGTCATTCGTTAACTTCATGCAGCGTTACAAAGGAGCTGCGCAGAGATGTCAGCATGACGGTTTCATGAAAAGGATGAAAGAGAGAAATAAATCACCAGACAGCTGGTTGCCACGAGATCTGCAGAAGATTTAAAGGCAGATGGAAGAGTTGGCCTCGGGTCTCAGCAGAGGAAACCAGCAGCAGCTGTGAAAATGATCTTTTCTTTTCCTGCAGCAACAGAAGAACTCTGCGTGCCCCGAGGAGGGCTCCTTTATGCAGCTCAGCTCAGCTGCTTTCTCTGTTTTCTTCTACCAACCAAAAACTGAAAACAAAAAAGAAGAGATGAATTAGTTGTTTTGTCTTTATCTCCTCTCTTTAACACAGTGAGAAAACACTTTGGTTATTTTCTCTTCTCTTTTAAATGATGTGTAAATGAAGAGATATAAAAATGCTTCTAAGTTTCACAAAGACTTCCCGTGTTGTTGGATTTGTTGTGATTTACTGTCATAAACTCCAGATTAATGCTTGCATTTCATTTGTGTCATTCTCTTTTCTCTAATGTTTCAGGAGATCAGTCAGATTTGGGATATAACTCCCTGTCTAAAGAGGAAGTTCGGAGAGGAGAACCCACCCCACAGGATCCGGCCCCCGACAAAGATAAGAAGGAGAGCGACTGCAGCTCCCGTCAGTAGGATGCTGGAATGATACTTATCCAGTATTTTCCTTTATTCCCTTTAGACTGACATAATAACACTGTAGACACACCTGGTTGTTAGTTTTTACAGGGTTCCTGCAGATCCTTAAAAAGTCTTAAAACTCATTGAATTCATCAATCCAATAATAAGGCCTTAACTAGCCTTTAAATGTCTTAAATCAATCTTTCAGAAGTCTTAAAAATGTGAACACATTGTAAATAGGATGATTGTAATTCATCTCAAATATTAAAATAATTGGTAACATTTATTTTTTTAAATATTCACATGCAAATATCTCAACAACCGTTCATCTCAGCAAAGTGAAATTTGTTTTGTAGTATGTTAATAATGTTGTCTTTCCAAAAATGCATTCATAGTTCTTACAAAAAATTAATGTCACAGAGACTTTAAGGTTTCATCTACAGCAAATTGGGGTTGAGACCCCACTGTGGGTCCTAAAACTCCAGATTTTGGGTCGTTAGAGGATTTCCTGAAATTAAACTAAGTTTAAAACTGACTGCTAAGAATATTTCTGCTATAGTTGGATATGGATAAAACAATTGGTCTATTTTCAAAATTTGAATACTTTAACCAAAAATACATTGATTCTTAAGTTTCTGCAAGTTTTTATTTTTTTTTATCATTTGTGTTTATTATGAAATTGATCTTAAATTTAATTTCACTTGGCATTAAAAAGTCTTTAAAAGTCTTAAATTTAACTTTCCTTAAACTGTAGGAACCCTGTCTTAGGATTATCTCAGTTTGAAGTCTTGAGAATTGTTTAATGAAAGTCCAGTTTTTAATGAGACTCTGTGTTCAGTATCAGAGACAGAAAGTGTAAAGGGAAGTAAAGACTGCCTCCCTCAGCTGGATTTGGAGATGAAGTCCTCCTTCAAACCTCGAGGAATTGTTCGCAGCAGTTATCCTTACGAGGACTCATCCTGCAAACCCAAGAGTTCTGCCAGCACAGGTAYTTTCACAAAATAAAGTTTATTAAATTTATTTTTGGGGCGTTTATTCATTCCTGATAGTAGCAACACGTTCCTGAAAACTTCTCTCCATTATCCAGAGATGTGTGGACTCTGCGAGTTTGTGACTTTTACTTCATGTTTACTACACACATGCGTCTGACGTAATTGATACGCTTCAAGCCAGTTGATGGAAACGTCTGATTCGCAGTTCTTGTTTTTTTTTTCTTTTTTGCGAAATTTTAAAAATTTTCTCAAAATTCAAATTAAAATTGGATGGAAACAGGGCTAGTGTGGTGAGGACTCTGGTAATTCCAGGCTTCTCCTTGTTTCCTTCTGTAATCCTGAGGCCAGTTCAGCACAGAGTAGTGCTGGGTGGTATGACCCAAATTTTATATCACCGTATTTACAACAATTACACCGGTTTCACGGTATTTGACTGTATTTTTTTCCCTCACAGCTCAGCTGATAATAAAATGTAATGTTGCTTATTGACTTTTTTCTTTTGCTGTACCTCTGTCTGTGTCACTGTTTCCCTCCTCTTGTACATCTTTTCTTCTTTGCCTGGTTGTAGACAGTAATCATGCCTTGGTCCAATAGTGAAGGGTTGAGAAAAGATCATTATCGGGTCTATCATTGTGTGTTAATAAAACTTGAATCACTATTCAACTAAGCTCTACTACAAAACTACTTCTCCAGGCTTTTCACAATAAAAGCATGTTAAAGTCTCCATGCATAAACGTTTTCATGCATTAACGTCTCCATTATAACGTTGTGTGTAAATCTAACCATGCACGTCACGGAAGAGTTTTTTACTACATTCAGCGATGTTGAAAATGGGATGTTTTTTTTTTACTTCAGTCAATATAAGCAGCTGAAACACCACCCGCCGCCGGTTACTCCAACAATCTGCTTCAACAATAACATTAGCATGCTAATGCACATAGCGGTGCTGCGAGGAAACGTGTCCTCCAGGAAACAGTTCAYTGGCGGCCGCGACGAAACGTTCCAAACGTGTTCAGGCTATTTAAACCAGAATGTCCGGTATTCAGAAAATTCATATCATAACAAAAATAAAAACCGGTTTTCGGTACAAAACAGTATAGTGCCCAGCACTAGCACAGAGTTCCAAACGAATGAGCCTGTAACAGTTCACATCAAATAATGACATTTACTGCTACACCCCAGTTTTTCCTCTGCACCTAATTATTGTCTCTCATCAGAAGTTTATACTTATTCTTAGATCACGTCTCTTCCTGTCTGCAGGCCATGTGGCAGGTCTCCTCTTCACCTCCTCGCTGGATGAGATCGGTGAAGTTCACAGCAGCAGTTTGATCAGGAGACATAAGAGTGTTCTGGAGGAGGTGGTGGGCAGCACCAGCGGCAGCTCTGCTCTGGACTGGCAGGTTGTGAGGGGTCGCCGGTTGAGTGGGGACACGGCGGGCGGCGGCGGCACCACCGTGCTCGGCCTCGGGATGAACCAGGCTGAAACGGATCCGGATAAGATCGCAGGGCACTTGGGCGCAGATGCCAAAATTCTGTCCAGCGCTAGTTTCAATAGGAGGTCTCGTTCTCAAGGACAGAGMGGCTGTGAAGGACTAACTGCTAAAGCTGGGGGGTCTTTCAGGTGTTGTGAGGAGGAAGAGGAAGGTCAGGTGTCTAGTGATGAAGASAGGAGTCAAACAGAGGCCATTTTTGATTTTGAAGACCTGGAAATAGACAAGCCTGCCACAGAGGTTAGCCCACACAGCAGAGTTCACAGGAAGCCCTTTGAACGCAGCGCCAGCTATGGAGGCGTGAGCGCTGCCACACCCAAAGGAACTATCAGGAGGACTGGAATTGAAACAGGCTATGACCCACTTTCCCTTCTAGCAGCAGAACTGCAGCCTGGACGGCCGGACACCACTCAGCTCGTGGAAGAAGACGAGGCCGGCACGCCGAAAGCTGGCAGGAACCTGGCCCGAGAGATCGAGGTCTACATGAACCACCTGGACACCCCGCTGAGCAGTCGCACGTCCAGCTCCGACCTGCAGGACCTGGCCAGCCCGCTCCTCCTCCACCCCTCCACGGCCTCCGCCCCCCGCAGGTCCAGCCTGCCCCACGGCTCCCCCTTCAGGACGGCCGGGGTGCCGCGCTCTTTCACCTTCCACCAAACCTCACCCTCCCAGCCCGTCTCTCRCCAGCGTATGGTCTCATCCCCATCCTGTCCCAGCTCCAGCACCAGCCCCAGCCTCAGCCCCTTCAGAGAGCAGGCTGACGGAGTGATGATGTCACCTTCGTCCTCCTCCTCCTCCTTCGCCCTGGACACTTTGCTTACACCCACTCTAGACGTCTTTAAGACCAGCGTGGTCTCTGCTGGGAAGGGCGTGGCTGAGAAGGCGAGCCGCTGGTATTCACGTTTGGCCACCTACACCACACCTACCAAGGTAACGTTGTTACACTTTACTTTTGGTGACAGTAGAAACATATTTAATGTTTAAATATTATATTTGTAAATTCTGTCATGGTTCARCTCTGTTTCTGTCTGCCAGAAATAAGGTCAGAGAAAAAGAACAAAGATTTTAAAGGCTTAACTTTAAGACTTTGACAAAAAAATGCTCTTCTTTGAATTTGCTGTACAAGAAACACAGAACAAAACAACAACCATGGTGCACCAGATAGTCAGGTGGACTTTGTGGATGTTTTTATGTTTTGTTCTTTGTTAAAAATAGTCACACAATCTAAAGCCGTTGCCTCTTCCTCGTTGGCCATGTTAATGTACTCTGAAACCATGACTGATCTCAACAGGTCTCACATGATTTTCTGTCTGAATGTGTCTGAGTGAAATCTGTCGGCTTGTTGTCTGCTGTGTGGCATAGAAAAAAAATAGTTTGGCCCGGTTCTGGCCCACACAACGCACACAACACTTGGCCCAGACACCGCAAAGAATGACAGGGCTTTGGTGGTCCAGAGGTGGTCCATGCTTGGGCCAGCACCACATAAACCAGACCATAACTGGGCCAGTCGTGGCATGCCATCTTACAGACAGCACCATCATAGCCAAACCTGGCCCACATCTGGTTAACAAACCACTTGTGATGCCAGCAGTGCCAGCTTGTCAGCAGGTCTGGCCCACACCTGTTTGCTGTGTGGATGGTTCTAATGACGTTTTATAATGAAGCATGTAAAATAACTTTGTGACGTTACCTACTGAGTTCATTTTAAACCTGTATTTAAATGCTTAATTTATAAATGTCAAAGTAAATTCAGGCAGAAACTTTTTTAGTTTTACTCTAAAACTGTTTTAAGTCTGCGCTGCAGCCTTCTGTTGCCATCTGGTGACTGTTCAGGTTAATTTATTTTCAGATGTAAAAACTTTAAACTTTGAACTAAGCTGACATCCTTGTATTTGTTTCTGGTTCGACTTCTCCCTCTGCACACTGTGCTGCATGCAGTTTTGTTTTTTTGCTTGATGATTTCCTGTCTTCTTTTTCTTGTTGGATCAAAGGATCTTAAAGGAAACCACAGAGAGCGTGGTGGAGTTCAGGCATCGTGAACACACCTCTTCAATAGCTCAGTTTAGAAGTTTGCTGAAGTGTCATTAAGTGTCGACGTGTTTAGCTTCGACCTGTTTGACTCTCTTCTGTCCACTCAGGATGCCCATAGTGACCGTCTGAGTGTGTCGTCCCTCGTTGTTGGAGATCCAGAATGCTCCTCCCTGCTGGATGAAGCTGAGTGTGCAGAGTCTGAGTGCTCAGTGGTGTTTCCTCAGAGAAATGGCCCCCCGGGGCCTCGCAGGAGCCCCAGGCGCAGCTCTGTCCACAGCAGAGTGAGCAGCCCCCCTGTGAGCTGCAGCCTCAGGAAACCCTCATCTCTCCTTCCTGGTAAACACAACCTCTCCTCTGGGAAAAAGAAAACATTCAGTCTTTTTAAAAAACAGTTTTTACAGCTGAAGATACAGTCAATTTTACCGGTTAGTTTGAAAACTGTTCACATTGAACAAACATAAAAAGCATTTCTTCTTTGTCACATTTGCTGGTCGTCTGCAGGAAGTGCTCTGTCTCCGCCTGAATTCCCTCTACCTGACAAGTCAGACCTCGGCTCGTCTCGCTACACCAGCAACACCAGCATCTTCAACAACTACGCCATGGAGGTAAAAACTAGAGCTTTACACTTTGAGCTGAACTTGGTTACTTGGAACTTTCTTTTTTTTATTTGCAGCTTTTATGGGGAAAGTATTGTTCTTTTGGGTTTGCTTGGTGTCCTGTGGTCCTTTTTATCTAGTGCCTCTACAGCATTTTGACTTGGCTGAATTCTGTTTAGCATGGTTCAGGTGGTTTTCTATTACACTTCAGTAACAGCTCCAGCAGGTGGGTTCATCAAAAAGTTGGGCGGCCCCAGAGCCCGAAAATTGATGCCACACGCCTTACCAGCTGGTGGCGGTTATTCTCCATTTAACTGTTTGCCAGCCACCAATAAACACAGAAGAAGACCCTGAAAATATACGCAGCACAACAATGGAGGTTTTGTGATTCAACCAGTGACCAACATTTTCATGCCAGAATGGTAGACGTACAGCAAAGTACATTCCGAAAAATGGGCTGTTTCCACAAGTCCTTGTTGGTGGAAAAGCCTTGGACCTGTAGAACCATCCTTAGACAGTTTATAATGTATGTGATATTTTGTACAGTGCACTGAGACAAGGCAGCACGACGGCTCAGTGGTTAGCACTGACGCATCGCAGCAAGAAGGTCCTGGGTTTGATCCCCGGTTTGGACCTGGGGTCTTTTTGTGCTGAGTTTGCTGTTTTACTTATTCTTGTTGGCGTTTTTTTGTGGTACTCCGGTTTCCCCCACCCCSCAAAAACATGTACAACAGGTTGCCTTCAGGCCCAGGCCTCCCTTGAAAAAGAGATCTGTGAGCTCACTGGGATTTGCCTGGTTAAATCATGGTAAAATAAAAAAAGATGACTTGTTGTGACTTGGCACTATATACAGTGGTTTGCAAAAGTATTCATACCCCTTGAACTTTTCCATATTTTGTCACATTACAACCACAAACATAAATATATTTCACTGGAATTTAATGTGAAAGACCAACACAAAGTGGTATACAATTGTGAAGTGGAAGCAAAATTTTACATGAATSAAAACATTTTTTACAAATAAAAAACTGAAAAGTGCGACGTGCAAAAGTATTCAGCCCCCTTTTCCCTGAGTGCAACCAATTGCATTCAGAAGTTGCCTGATGACTGCTAATGACTCAAAAGGGTCCACCTGTGTGTAATCTAATCTCAGTACAAATACAGCTGCTCCGTGACGGCCTCAGATGTTGGTTAAGAGAATATTGGGGAGCAAACAGCATCATGAAGTCCAAAGAACACACCAGACAGGTTAGGAATATGGTTTTGGAGAAGTTTAAAGCAGGCTTAGGTTATAAAAAGATTTCCCAAGCTTTGAACATCTCACGGAGCACTGTTCAATCCATCATCCGGAAATGGAAAGAGTATGGCACCACAGTAAACCTGCCAAGACAAGGCCGTCCACCTAAACTTACAGGCCGAACAAGGAGATCACTGATCAGAGAGGCAGCCAAGAGGCCCATGGTGACTCTGGATGAAATGCAGAGAGCCACAGCTCAGGTGGGGGAAACTGTCCACAGGACAACAATTAGTCGTGCACTACACAAATGTGGTCTTTATGGAAGAGTGGCAAGGAGAAAGCCATTGTTAAAAGAAAACCATAAGAAGTCCCGTTTGCAGTTTGCCAGAAGCCATGTTGAGGACACAGCAAACGTGGAAGAAGGTGCTTTGGTCAGACGAGACCAAAATTGAACTTTTTGGCCACAATGCAAAACGCTATGTGTGGCGGAGAAAGAACACTGCACATCACTCTGAAAACACCATCCCCACTGTCAAATATGGTGGTGGCAGCATCATGCTCTGGGGGTGCTTCTCTTCAGCAGGGACCGGGAAGTTGGTCAAAGTTGATGGGAAGATGGATGGAGCCAAATACAGGGCAATCTTGGAAGAAAACCTGTTGGAGTCAGCAAAAGATTTGAGACTGGGGCGGAGGTTCACCTTCCAGCAGGACAACGACCCTAAACATAAAGCCAAAGCTACAATGGAGTGGTTTAAAAAAAGAATATTCATGTGTTAGAATGGCCCAGTCAAAGTCCAGACCTAAACCCAATTGAGAATTTGTGGCAAGATCTCAAAACTGCTGTTCACAAACGCTCTCCATCCAATCTGACTGAGCTTGAGCTGTTTTGCAAGGAGGAATGGGCAAGAATTGCAGTCACTAGATGTGCAAAGCTGGTGGAGACATACCCTAAAAGACTTGCAGCTGTAATTGCAGCAAAAGGTGGCTCCACAAAGTATTGACTCAGGGGGGCTGAATAATTTTGCACATCGCACTTTTCAGTTTTTTATTTGTAAAAAATGTTTTGATTCATGTAAAATTTTGCTTCCACTTCACAATTGTATACCACTTTGTGTTGGTCTTTCACATTAAATTCCAGTGAAATATATTTATGTTTGTGGTTGTAATGTGACAAAATATGGAAAAGTTCAAGGGGTATGAATACTTTTGCAAACCACTGTAAATAACTGAACTGAAAGCCAGAAGTCAGTGGAAGCAGAAAAAACATCTGAAATTAAAACAACTCTTTCTCTTCTGTTAAGAGAAGCATCTAAATGTAGTTTGAGTTGCTTTGACATCTGATTTGAATGAATTAGTGATTAGAAACAGAAACAACCTGTATTGTCCCGTGCGGGGAAATTCTGATGTAGTAGCAGCAGCACATAAATAGTATGTTGCCATGGAACAATATCAATAGTAGCAACAATAATACAATTAAAGATTAAACGTTGTAACAATCAAAATAAACATACATCAAAGTCAAAATAAGACTGATAATTACAGTACCAGTCCATCAAGGAGAAATTAGATAAAAATGAAAGTCCAAAACAATTTTAACAGGATTAACAGGTTCTGCAGGACTTGAAGACCTGCTGAAGCAGGAAAACAACTAAAACATGCAGGATGGTGGTCCTCCAGGACCAGTGTTGGGCACCACTGCTTTAGAAGATCCTCTTTATTGAAACTTTATTTTTTTTTACCCTGTAGGGTTTTTAAGTCATGTGAGTTTAACTTTTTTCATGAAATGTTTTCTGACAGAAGAACAATAAGGACCTGCATAAACAGGAGTAAACTGAAGGTAAACGTAGTTAATTCCAGCTCCTTCAGTGTGTTCTCTCTCTCTCCCCAGCTGCTGATCTCCAGCTGCTCTCGGTGTAAAACATGTGACTGTTTGGTTTACGACGAGGAGATCATGGCCGGCTGGACGGCCGACGACTCCAACCTGAACACCACCTGTCCCTTCTGTGGGAACCCCTTCCTGCCTTTCCTCAACGTGGAGATCCGGGACATGCGAGGGACTGGGAGGTACACGAGGACACTTAAAAATCAAACAAATAAAGAACATCTGTAAATCTCTTTTGTGCTTTTCTCTTTCTACAAATTTACAAACATATCTGAAAACAAACTTTTAGCTAAATGATGATGAATTGTCAAAAATAATTGTAATTTATATGAAAGTTTTGGCTTTAATATCTATAAAGATAATATTCAGGTCAGAATGGAATTTAAAGGAATTTAATTCAAAATAAATGTACCTAATACCTGTAAAATCATTTCACTGTTCTTTAAAATTAGTTATTGTTGAGTAGTTTGTCTCAGAATCATTACTTTGACCTTCCTGAAAATGAATAACTGAATGTTTTTGATGGTTCCTGACCAAACAAAACTAAAATATTCACAAACACAAAACCATTCAATAGAAATGACAAAATTTCTTTACTTTGTTTTCACTCCAGGCTTTTCCTGAAGGGCAGCCCGTCCCTGGATGAAGCAATGACATCATCGTACTCCACCTCCACAGGTATGGACACGGGGACGTCCACTTTGTCCACACCGTGTCCCACCACAGCTGTGTGCCCCCCCTCCCCATCGACAGCCATGCAGGACAGCTCTGGAAGGTACTCACTGTCAGTTAACGCTTCGCCACATTTTTGATTTTACACATCAGTCCTAAAATAAATTATGTCCTGCTTCTTTTAATTTATAGCAGAAGAAAACCAAAACTCAAAATCCTTAGTGGTAAATATAAACTATAAGTTGTAAACTTAACACCAAAAGTACAGAAATATGTGTTTAGTAGATTATTTCTTTGTTGCAATGCTTCTTGGCAATAAACCATAATCTGTTGGAAAGCCTGTTAATTTCTCTTTTAAATGGTGTCAGATTTGTAAGGAACATGCATTTGTGGGATGAGATTTTACTGCATTAAGATGCCTGTGACATCAAATTTTTGTAATAAACATTAACGCATTTTTGGAAAGATAACATTCATAACACATTGCAAAAAAAATTTCACGTCACTGAGATGAACAGTTGTTTTTTTTTTCTCTTTAAAGTCACGCTCTGCAGTTGTTGAGATATTTGCTTGTGAAGAAACAGGAAGTGATGTCAAAGGGGAATGTCTGCATGTAAACGGAGCATTGTTACAAAAGCTAACAACACAGACTGTAGGGAAGAATCTAATGTTTCTTTAGATTAGTTTTAGTCGCTATCAAAGAGAGACGAAGAAAAGTTGAAGTTTAAATAATTTTGTTTTAATAAACAAGAGACCAGCGAGTTAATTTTATTAAGGGGTTCCCCTTTGATGTCACTTCCTGTTTTACTTTGACTGAACCAAATTCTAAAGAAAATAGGCCAGTCGTGGCAAAATGGGTAATATCACATGTATTATGCCAATTTTCTTAAGTGTAAAGATGCTTTCTTTGACTTTTTGTATTTGAAGGATAGGCATGTCACTGGCACTTTAATATAAAAATAATTCAGCCTTTTTGAAGTTGGAAGTGTTCAGGTATGCAGTGCACTTCACTTCATGTTTAAATGTACTTTAACACTAATGCACACTATGTTTTCTGAAGTTTTTACATTAAAAGTGATTTCATTATTTGGACGCCCTTCCCTGTGTCTACCCAGGGTGTGGCCAATCAGAGCACAAGGAATCAACATCCCCTTAGAGCGACAGCAGGGGGCGCTGTCCTCTGGAGGAGCAATGACCCGCAGCGTCAGCGCCTTCAGTCCTCTGGAGGAGTCGTCTGGATTCGGCCGCTGCCTGCCGACATCAGGCAGCCTGCCCACTCATCTGAATGAAGCCACGGTGTGTAGCCACACTTTGGTCTGAACCGGGTGTGAACATACAGGTGTAGCTCAGCAACATGTCACCAAAGACTTGTGTCAAGATTAGAAAAATCAAATAAAGCTGTGACTTGATGTAAAGTTGAGGAAGCATTAAGAGTGACTCTCTGGTCTTGAGGTATCAGACTAGGATCACATTTCTTCTTCTTCCTCTTCACTTTGAGTAGAGTGAGGGGAGATGAAGTCTAATGGTCCTTTCTGTCCCGACCAGGACCCCATGAGCATGGACTGGAGGCTCCACAACCCCGAGCCTGTGACAGTTCCTTATTTGAGCCCGCTGGTGCTGTGGAAGGAACTGGAGAGCCTGCTGGAGAACGAGGGCGACATGGTGATCAGTGAAGCCGACATGGTGGACCATCATCCCATCATCTACTGGAACCTGGTCTGGTACTTCAGACGGCTGGATCTGCCCAGCAACCTGCCGGGTCTCATCCTCACGTCTGAGCACTGCAACAAAGACACTCAGGTCAGAAACAGACTTTATTTCCAAGAGAACTGATCGGTCATAGTTCCAGCAGTTCACAATAAAATCTACAAAATAACTTTACTGTTGTTTTACAGTGATAACTATAGTGATGTAGCTTTTGTAAACTTTATATCATGTAAACATTGATTAAATGTTTAAATAAGACTTTCAAGGGGTGAATATTTATGAAAATAATTATTTTACATTGCATATTTTTATTTATGTGGTACGGCTATGATTGACTTTCACATTTAAATGTTTTTGAAGGCCAGTTTATATTGATCATAACTGATGTATAGCAGGGGTGAATACTTTTTATGTTGACTGTAACTCACTGTTTCTGTGTCTCCTTCAGATCCCTCGTCACTGGATGTCAGAGGACAGTAAACACGTGTTGATCCAGATCCTGTGGGACAACCTGAAGCTGCACCAGGACCCAGTCCAGCCTCTCTACATCCTCTGGAACGCATACAGTGAGTCACGCTGCTCTCGCACACTTTGTTTACTTGTTTTTTTTTCTCCAATAAAACATGAAATCAAACCGTATCGGCCCACAAATCAGCAGCACAGAAAAGAGACAAAGTTTAGAGAGGGTGGGGTATAAAGCAGGAATAACCAGCTTAAATGATCTCTCACTGGGCTGCAGCTGCTGGTGAGGAGCTGGCAGCTCAGAATTGATATGTTTACATTGTGTTGCAGCTTCACTGAACTCTCCAGTTCTGAGTGTTTCAGACTAAACGACCAACGGGTGGCCACATGCTGACAGATCAGAAGCTTAAAAACTCTATGCTTGGCTGTGCACATTATYTAGTTGGCTAACTCTGCCCACATCGTACCAGGGCAGCCTGATATTTGGAAAAAAAAACAACATTCTGATTTTTTTCTAACCCTGCAATATAAAAAATACAGGAATTTTCAACAGATGAATATTTTTTTTGGTGCACTTTAAATGTATTTTATTTATTTATTTGTTTGTTTATTCATTTATTTAGTCAATTTAAATATTTCTGTTTTTATTTCTAATTATGTCAGTTTCGGTCCTCCATACTACCTTTCATTCATATCAGGTGTGTTTGAGCAGAGAAAAAAGTAAAACATGCAGGGCTGCGGCCCTTGAGGACCAGGGTTGCCCACCCCTGGTCTGTGTGATTCACATGAGAAAACACTGACTGCTTGTAGCCCAGTGAGACATGAGCTGTAGTGCTGGGTTTATTGTATTTCACTTTATTATAAAGCGTTTGTGCTGTTGGAGTATTGATGTGTGTGAGAGAACAGCCTGTTGCTGCAGTAACTGATGTTACCTCAGAGAAGAGGAGCAGAGGATGGAGGCTAGGGATGGGCGATATGGACTGAAAAATGTATATCATGGTAACGATAAGTGACAATACTGTGTACATACACACACACACACACACACACACACACACACACACACACACACACACACACACACACAC